CGGTGGTGGGGGCGGCGCGGGGCTCTCCTCCTGCCGCGTGTGACTCTTTCTGGAACGCATGTTGCAGCTTTGGTTTTGGCTATTTTTATTTTTCGTTTTGGAGGGAGAAGGGAGTGTTTACAAGGTTTTGTAATCACCTGCCTTTTTGTTTTGGTTTGTTTTCACCTTCGCGGGCGTTAAATTGGTTGGATCGTGTTGCGTTATTTAAACTGGGGGGGGTTTCCTCCATTGAAATTTGGTAGAAGTATAACGATAGACGAGTTTTACCAACCGGTATGTACACCCAGAATTTGTAATTTTATTTGCTAGTAATTGAAACCTCCTTTTTTTTTGTTGTTGTTTTATAATTTAAAGATAGTAGGCAATGCACTTGATATAGCCTTGCACATCGGAGTGATTGATTTGGGTTCTCTTTAGTGCTACGTAGATCTGTGACCGTGGGAGCAATATGGAGCGAGTGTGCGCGCGCGCACGTGTAAGCGCGTGCAGTTCTCCACGTCCTGGTCTGAGCTGCAGGAGATCTGTACCTGGGGCTGTTCGAATGCAAAAACAAACCACTGTCTCTGCTTTTGAAAGGGGAATCAGTAACTCTTTGCATTTTCTGTTCCACAAGATATGCAAAAACAATGCAATAATATTAATTTTAGAATACAATTGTAAGTTGTGTTGGCATTAAAACTGTATAGAAAAAAATGCAGGGGTGGGGGGAAACAAAAAAGCAGAAGGCGTTACGCTTCGATATATTCCGTGTGATGTTTTATTGCATTGATAATGTTTCTGTTGAAGAAACCGTTATACTTGAATTCAGGTCAGTTTCAGTATTTTTCAAATATTTTTTTAAAATGAATTGCAATTGTGCCAAGCAAAGATAATGAATTGAATTAAGTTTGTTTAAAAAAAAAAAGAAGAAAAAGAATCACTTCTTGTATATTTTGCTGCATGTCAAGTGAATCATTTCGTATTTGGAATGTGCCAAGCTTTACCTTTGAACTTTTAAGTGCTTTTCTACGTGTGGTTGGGGAAAAGGGTACTATTTTTTTCCTTTTTTAATTTGTACAATGAACAAAGTGTACCTGGTGTAAGTAACTGTTCTGCAATCCACTGACAGACAGGTTGAACATTACTGATTTTGCATATCTTGTGTTCATTTTCCTTCTTTCTCACTCCCTTTAAACATGCACGATGACTTTATTTGTAGAGAATCTTTCTTCCCGAGACTGGGACGTTTTATTCAGGCTTTGTTCTCTTTCCTTTTGCTCAGTTTCTCTAAAGGTCTCGTCCCACTCGAGAGTGGCAAGACCCCAAGCCCATTTGGCAGATCCATCCTACGTATTCAGCTGGCACCAGCAATTCAAGGATCGGGGAAATAAAAATCTGCTTTCAAATTTCTTTTATTAAATAGCTGACCCTGATCGACTGAGGCTGAATCATTAGCTAAGTAAAATTATCTAACTGGATAGAAAGTCTGGACTGAAAGCAGAGGGTAAGTGAGGGAGGGAGGTCTGGATTGCTGCAGTTTGGTCAAGATGCAGATGTTAAGTGATTTTTTTTGTGTTCCTGTGCACAGTCTCATCCCTCTTCCCAGACTTCAGTGGATGGGTCAGATTCTAATCCACAAAACATCCGACGGCACAGCATGTTCCAGCCATATTTCCTTACTAGTGAGTGTGAACCTCTCGTGACTTCCCTTACACTGATACTTGGCCCTCAGCTGTGAGAGGCTGAAAAAACAGGCAGGTCTTGGTAGATTTTATGCAACTGACTTTTGCCTGGACTACTGCTGGTTTTTTTCCCTTCTCAAGATGGTTCACAAACTTGCAGGTCAGTGCTGAGCTAGAAGGTGTGATCTGACTCAGAGCTAAACTTTTATTCAAATCTTGAGCTTCTACAGATGTCTGAGAACATCATTTAATGCTTATGTTAATTACATTATTTTTGTACTGCTCTTGTTTTTCTCCTTGATTCTCTGAAGCGTAAAGCAGAAATAGCAAAGGATATTTTTGACAGTGCATTTTTTTCAGTGTCATTTTGAACTGGCCAGTAGCGGCTCAAGATACCTTGCACATGAATCCTTTTAAACTAGAGAAATATAAATCCATTTATACAACCATCTGGCATCAAAGTCCTAATTCAAGACTTCCCTGGAGAAAGTAACCAGCGGATGTCAGTCAGTCTCATCCCTTCCACCCCTCGTGCCTGTATCACGACCGGCACGCAAGCATATCTCCCTTTGAGACTTTGCTGCTGCTAGTGCTGAAGTGCTCCAAAGCTACTTGAAATAATGCTCTGCCTGGTTTTTTCTGAGGATGAAATCAGTGTTAGGGGTCTGTATCTCATTTTCTCCCACTAGAAAGTCCATCTGACCCTCCCGGTGGGAGACAGAGGTGTTCTCTGCTCCTGAGAAACAAAGTACTGATCTAAATGAATGGCGGCAATGGGCGTTTTGCATGCTTGACGGCACATGTCATGTCATAGGATTTTTCTTGACAGGAAGGAAAATGGTGGAAAGGATTATGCCCCATATGTATTCCCGGTGAAAGCTGCGACTTCCTTGGGGGTCAGAGCCTACAATGGCCAGAGGAAGACCCCTTGGTCTTGCAGAGAGGAAAACACACAGCTAGCAGAGAACGCAGAGGACTTCTGCGGTTTGAGGGGCAGGTGTTAAATTTAGTAATTGCTGGTGCCAGCTGTGCAAATGTCTCCTTTTTTTTTTTTTTTTTTTTTTTTTTGGGGTTTTTCTAATATGCACATTGTGACAGGCCTGAGCAAAGAGCTACTGCCTCCTTCGGGTGAGGTGGAGTCTGGGGGACAGTGGGAAGGCGGTGGCAGGTTTAGTTCCTGGAGTGTCCTTCCTCCCCTGTGTATGGGAGTGGACGGTAGACACAATCACTGTGCTGTGGATGGAAGCTTTGAAGGAACTGATGGCTGAGGAGTGGCATGGAAGGAAAGGAAAGAATGGGGAAAACGACCTGCTGTTTGCCACTGAGCATCTCTGACTTGCAAGAGTACACTGCAGACTAAAGACGTTTCTTACAAAACAACAAACCTCCTCCCTGTATCACTTCTGCTCATTATTCCAGGCAGTACTGGGCCAGCCACACCAGGTGCATTTCTTTTTTTCTTCCTTATTTCTGTGTGGCTGACGTGATGGGGAAGAAAGTAGAACTCATGATCCAGAGCTGGAATTTCGTTATCCACAGACCTTTTCTGCATCATCTGCCTCTTCAGCTGGACATGTGAACGATGATGGTGTAGATGTTGCTGCTACTGCAGGGGTCCCACCTGTTTTATTACCCTGCCCACCACACCCCAGCACGGAGGGACAGCCAGCGAGGCGCCATGTACAGAATCGCATCTATTTCTGCTTTGTTTTCTGACTCAGAACCCTGCCCCCGATGACTACGACAACAATGACAACAACAACAAAAAAAGGGCAAATGCATTTTTTACATTTCTTGATAATTTCCAAAGCAATGTATCATTGCTTTCTTTAGACTGACGCCAATATAACAGTTGTATGGGTCTCAGCCAGGCTCCTGTGTCTTTTCTGCCTGATAGTTTCAGATTGCTGTATGAAAAGTATGCACGTTTGCACACAGACACAATCGTATGAGGTGATGGCACCATGAACCCGTGGGGTTGGTAACCTGTGTCATAGATGAAGTTGGAGGCCTTGCTTCATACGTGTGGATGAGAAACCTCAACCCGCTGGTCCAGTGACTGGAGTGAAGCAGTCCCACTGAGACAGACCTGAGTATCCTACGATATATGCACGGTCCCATTGTCACTGTCCCCATGGCAAGGGCAGGGTGGGGGAGAGGAATACTGAAGGGGGAATTTGGAGCACAGCACGGCTGAGAAAATAAGTAAATCCAGCCGGGGGCTTCTGGCAGCAGTGAGATTTTATCAGTTCCCATGACGAAAAATGTAGTGCATATAGAGAAAATATTCCAGGCCATCAGAAGTCCCAGTTCCCATCTTGCTAACACAAGGATGGAGGGCACTAGAGGCCAAGGAGGTTGTATTGAACCAAAGAATGTGAAAAACAGAACTGGGCCCAGAAAAATATTATTATATTTTTCCTCCATGCATTTTCTTCTCTGAAGAAGTCTAAGAAATATAAATTTCAGTAGCTGCACCGGGTTTCTTTTTTTTCTTCTTTTGAATGTTGCAAAGTTTTTAAAGTTTTATTTCGGGTTAGCAAGCCTGGGGGGTCTGAAAGGCTTTCGACGGCATCTCAGTCTGTGGAGCTTTGCTCTCTGTTGGCACTTTGTTTCTGGACAGCTGAAACCACTATGGCC